TTGTATATGAAATTGCTTTTAGCTTCCCCTTGTGTTGAGAGTTCCCATTTTTTCTGTCATATAGTTACTGCATATATACATAGAGAGAGATGTTTAGGACATCAAGTTTCATATGGCCCTTAACATGCCATCAGTTGTTCATGTACTTGGGTTTCTCCCCCCCCCCCCCACCAGTTTGTAGGTCTTCAGAATTTGATACAACGGAATGAGCAGTTGTACAGCTCAGGAAATGGTCCCAGTGGTGGTGTGGCTTTACCTTTTATCCTGGTGCAGGTTTGTTATCTTCTCAAGTCTTTCATTCTTGTATGGAATTAGAACTGCCACTCATCTAAGTTATGCGATGATTTTTGTTTATTAGGCAAAATTTTATTATCTCAGCTCCCTCAAATAATTGTTTGTGTTTTTATGAACCAACTTCTTCTGCTGTTTGTTACTCTGTTCATGATTCTCTGTTTTTCTGTTTAATTAAAAATGTATGATCAGCCAACTTCTCATGCTATCTGCTACTCTGCTTCAATTTTTTACTTCATTAAAGTTTTTGACTAAGTCCTGTTATTTGTTAAGATCTGCATCTAATATATATATGTTTATTCTTAATTATTTTCCTTTCTATAGCCAATATTTGTTTCTTTTGTTAACTTTGTTTCAGCTTTAAAGTTTCTTGCCTGTAAATCAGCTTTAGATCACGTACTTGATGACGTAAAACTGAGAACTCTACAATGTCTTTTTCTACTTGACAAGTGGGGAACATGTTAATGGATTTGTATGCTTATTTCCATTTCTTCAACAAGAGTTTTGGAATGCCCATATTAATAGTCACAAACTCACAATTGCATTATCAAACCTTTGGTTATGCATCTATCTCACTTTTCATAACTCTTTAACTGCAAGAAGAAAAAGAAAGCGACATAATGAGGTTTCTTCATTAAGGCTAATAGGCTATCACAAGGCATGTACATATTGAACACAAAGTGTGTGTTTTTAGTTATTTGGACTCTTCCATAGATCCTGAGGTTTTTTAATTTCTCTTCTTTTTCTTGTCATCCGGAAATTGTAGACACGCCCTCATGCAACTGTTGAGGTAGAAATATCGGAAGATATGCAGCTGGTGCATTTTGACTTTAATAGGTAAGATTTTTTAAACTGTTATAGTAACTTGCAGTATCCATTCAACGTCATTTGGTGTGTATTTTGATTCATTCTAAACTAGTTTAGAACAACTATGTTTTCTTGTGTTGTGATGGTAAACCAAGGCATCCCAAAGAGAGGGAATGGAATGGTAGCTGGGGTAGTGGGATAAATTATATAGTTTGATTTATTTATTGCTCGCCTTTATTTTTACCTTTTATCTTATTGTGTTTCCACTACAGCACTCCATTTGAGCTCCATGATGACAATTATGTTTTGAAGGCCATGAAACTCTGCGAGAGACCAGAGAGTGGTGAAGCCACACACCATTTTTCTGCAGATGGTGAAGGCGCTAGCATGTCCACAATGTGCCAACAACAGATCCTTCCTCCAATGACAAGCATGCCGGGTAGGCCTCCTACATCACCGCCGCTCCCCGGAATATTAAAAGCACGTGTGAAGCATGAACATTGATAGTCGAGTTCCATGCCAAGCACCATTGAAAACAATCCATTTGTACATTGTGTAAAGTAATTTGCCAGAATCCTCCCCTGTAAGATCGCCTTCATCTCATAAAATTTTACCCCACAATAAGCCAGATGACTCCAATTTCTCGAGGGGTTTTCGTAGGACATCGGTTCAGGCAAGTCCTTTCAGCTTTTACATAGTCAGTAATCAGCTCTTGTAATTGTTTTTTTATCCTATTTTCCCTTGTTATTTTGACCTCACTGTAGTAGAAATGACCTTATTTTGTATTAGAGTGTAGAGGTTGGTTACCCATTGCATACAGAATCATAGAATGAACTAGTTTGTTTTGTTTTTTAAACTGCGTTTCCCATATTAATTCTTGGTGAAATTACAAGGTAGGTAAGCGATTATTATACAGTCAATTCATACTCATTGATACTAGAGGTGCACATTGGGTTTATTATTCACCCTCAATCCAATGCTTTCCCTAGTAAAGCACCCTCAAGTGTATGTATAAAATTTCTCTCAAAGTTGTGCTCAGTTCCACGACCTATGAGAGGAACATAGGCCTGTAAATGAACTGAACGTTCAGCGAAGCGTTTATGAACCGTGCGGCGGGAAGTTCGTTTATGTGCGTTTATTTATTAAATGAACGAACATGAATAAGATTTTGTGTTCGTTTAATTAAATGAACGAACATGAACATAAGACTCGTTCGTTCATTTACGTTCGTGAATGTTCATTTATGTTCGTTCGGTTATGTTCGTTTATGTTCGTTCGGTTATGTTTAACCCAATCTTCTTAAATCAATTTTGATGACCAATTTGTAAGTATCTTAAAAATATTAATTAATCTGATATTCTAATGATCAACTCCATAATTAATCTAATTTTATTTGAAAAATCCAACAATATTAACATGGTTTAGTTCTTTTTGAACGATCTATAAGCTGAATACCCAACACCGTCAACATCCACTGCGCTAGAACCCTATGTGACTGCGCCATCAGTTGGTTATCCGATGAGCAAAGAGGAGTCCCAGAAACTGGTTGCTTTCAAAACCAAGTCCAAAGGTGATGGATTCCAGAATAGATGTTAAGTATTAAACACCGTTTCTTCTACTCAAATAATCTTCTTTTCTTTCATATATAATAGAGTATTCGAATTTACAAGTAAATAGTGATCAACCAGCAACTCAAGTCAGCTTACTATGAACTCAAGAACCCAATAATGGTAAGGTCTTATTTCATAGGTTGAGAAGTTCTTTAACGTGTTTCATCAAACAAATTTTGTGTGCCATCTGGATATGGAAGTTTAGCCAATCTACTTCTCTCATCTCCCAATTTTCAACTTCTACATAGTACGAAGCTAAGGACATGTTTGTTTGATCCCCAAGGATTAAGGTCGGCAATCACATGAAACACAATCTGTGTTCATCTCGACTGTTGTTGAAGGAGATATGAAGAAAGAAAGTGGAGGAACGTTATGCAATCCCACATCAGTAGCAAACAAGCAGCTCGAGGTTGGTAACTTATATAAAAGATGGGGGAGAATAGGTTTAAGCATCTTTGCGCTTGGGGCAATGTCGAGTTTGAATCGAGCTCAGAATCAAGCTTCAATCGAGCTCGAGTCTCGAGTTTTAATCGAGCTCTTAATTTTTTTTGAGTTCGAGCCTTTTCGAGTTCGAGTCGAGTTTCAATATTATATTTCGAGTTCGAGTCGAGCTTGATAATTTTAAGCTCGCGAGTTTTCGAGTCGAGTCGAGTTGACTTTGAAAGTTTTTGAGTTCGAGTCGAGCTCAGCAATACTCGAGCTCGACTCGGCTCGTTTACACCCCTAGGTAGGATCTCCAACGTTTATGTTCGTTTATGTTCGTGTTCATTTATGTTCGTGTTCGTTTATGTTCGTGCGCGTTTATGTTCGTTTATTTATTAAATGAACGAACATGAACAAGTTATATTCCTTAATAAACGAACATGAACAAAAAAATTGTTCGTTTATGTTCGTGTTCGTTTATGTTCATTTATTTATTAAATGAACGAACATGAACATACCTCCATTCGTGTGCGTTCGGTTCGTTTACAGGCCTAGAGGAACAACTGGAGCTTTCTTTTCGTAGTCTACATAGGTTGTGAAATTGTTAAGTTTTACAAGAAATCTTCAGTTAATCTGATATCTTCTCATAATAAACTCTAAAAGAATCTCTCACAAAGGGCAAGTATAAAAGAGAAGTTTTATATTCTCATCCTTGGAATTATAATTATTCCTCAAGTATTCCGCCTCCAAGAAAAACACTTACATTTAAGGTTTAATTGAAAATTTAAGGGTTTTTTTTTGTTTTTTTTTTGTTTTAAGTGTTTAATTTTTTTTAATGTTATATTCCGTTATTGTTTTTAGATCAAATCATTAATCCTTGTTTAAAAATGTCACACAACAACAAATGCATGACATGTGGGTTAATTTTTTCTTATTTATCTAGGATAAGTACAAGATAATATATGTTTAAAGATAATTCTCATCCATTTGATATTAAAACCTCATATCATTGATATTTATGATGCTTGAATCCAAGATCTTAAGGAATAACAACCATCATCAGTCGTAGCCCTAGCTATGAGTTGAGTCGAATATAAATCTTAAATATTAGATTTTAAAGTTTACTCAAATTATAAATGAGTAATCAATTTGTAAACTTAACCGATTAATTTGATCTTTAAACAAGTTTAACTAAAAACATAAACACATTTGAAAAATGGACTACATTCTTCAAAGAAAAAAAAACATCGACCACACAATCATGATGAGACGATTATATTAGGGTAAATTGTATGTTTAGTATTTCAACAATCACTTTTTATTTTATTTTGGTCATTCTACTATTATTTTTATTTCTATAAATCGTACCTAACATTATATTTTGATAACCAATCATTAAAATTTTAACATAATCGTTGATATGACATTTAAAAAAAATCAATGATGATGTAGCATTACCTTATGACGAGAAGTCAATTTTTTTATTGGTGGGTGATCAAAATGAAACCAAAATTAAGTATGATTTTGAAACAAAAATAACTAGATGATCAATGTAAAATAAAATTTGATAATTAGGGTACTAAACATGTAGTTTACCTAACATTTTATAATGAAAATGATATAAATAAATTCATGATTTCCATCAACCAATTCTTCTAAGCATGGGCTTAAAGACAAGGTAAATAAAGACGAGGTTTCAGGCAATAACAAAAGATTATGCAACTAAACGACATCGTTCTTTACGTTACCAGTCGAATAAAATCCAAAGACAAGCCCATTGATTCTCTTTTTCAACTAGGGTTTTACAAGGAGTATGCTACAAAACCCTAAATCCCCTAATCGCAGTCAAAAGCTATTCAAAATAATTCCAGTAGGAAGAGAAAACAATGGGAGGAAAATGCCCAAGCAGGAAAGTAAAGAAGCGAAGATATTCTCACAAAACAGCTCGCCGCGACAAGTTCCTCCTCAAAGATATCCTTTTTTTTTTCAGTTTAATTGAATGAAAATTTCCTTTCTTATGATAAAAGTTTATTCTCATGCAATTATTTATTTTTCCCCTTAACGGGGAAATTCTTGATTCACGTGATGACGCCGTTTATGACGAGCTGCAAAAGGGTGATTCCGAGAAGAAACCGTTGCCTCGCGATGAGGATTTGCCTGGAATGGGTCAATATTACTGCTTACACTGCGAGTAAGTACAATTTGTTTATGAATTTAATTTTTTAATTTGCTTAAGCTATTGTTTTTGTTTCTGTAAAAATGAAAATTGAATTCTAGTCTGCCATATTTTAGATATGTTTCAATATATTTCTTTTTACTTATTCAGCCGATATTTTGCGAATTCAACTGTGAGAGATGAACATTTCAAGACGAAACGACACAAAAAACGGTGAGCAATTGTTTTCATGCTCTTATTCTTGGCACTGTATCTCCTTTTGTTTTTAGCTACTAGAGGTTTTATGCTGGGATTCAAATAGCGGCTGCGTCGCTGTATAATGGCCGTTATATTGTAGCACCGTCTGTTACTGTTATTGTCCAAAATAGTGGTGTGAAGCGGATTCACACTAATAGCCGGCAATGGCAACATAATGGCTAATGGCTGATCGCGGTGATAATGGACTGTTATTGCCGTTTTTTCCCGTTAAACCAAGTCAACAACACACCAAGTCAAGAACAAGGATTCAATCATTCAAAACAAAAGAAAAAATAACCCAATTGAATAAATACCTGATCATCTTGTTTCTTGCTTCTTCCTTTAACTGCTTATTCCTTGTTTTTCTTTTGGTGTAACATGCAAAATTTTGAGAAAAAAAAATTTGGGTATTTTCAGTAGGAATCGACGTAGAAAGAAAAGTAAGTTTAAGAACTTAAAAAATAAACAAGAAAATAGACGATTTTTTTTTAAAAAAAAATTAAAATCAATTTTCTCTTATTTTTGTTTTGCCTTTGTCCCCTTTCTCACGCAAGCATGCCATAGAAGAAGAAGGGATTTGGGGAGTTAATAATTTTTTTATTTTATTAATGTTTTATGTTTTAAATAACATTTTTTTTACTTTTAATGTTTTGGTTTTGGACCAAAACAGACCCAATAATTTAATTAGATTTGGGTTATAAGCCTATAGTATCGGTGGGTTTTCTTTTAAATAAATGATGGCTATTTTTAATTTTATGAGTTTTAAATTATTTTTTTTTATTTTGGTAAATGAATAATAATGGGTAATTTTATGGGTTATTTTTTTTAAATGGGTTAAGATTTATTTGTGAGATTGAATGTTCAATTTAAATTTTATACACTAAAATTATTTTTATAATTTAGTATTCTATGCAATAAGCTTATTTTTTTCATTATTGGTAATGATTATTATTTTTATTATATTATTGATAATAGAAGTAATGGATTGTTTATATTTCTAAATTCTAATTCTATTTTCATGTTTCTTGTATATAAATAATGGGTAATTTTATAGGTTAATTTGTTCTTTTGTAGTTTTAAGATTTCGATAAACATTTATTTTTTTAGTAACATCTAATTGTTGCATTGAAAACTTTGTGCAGCTCCCACTCCACGTTGAACTCAATTTTTAAAATTTATGTTCACGTACTAATAGAAGTTTATATGTGTTAGAAATCTCTCTAAAAATCATTAAAAATGATTTTTTATAATTATAATTATTATATTTTATAATAAGTTGTGTAATTTTTTAAAAAAAATTCACGTCCGTGATACTCGTAGTGAGCACGATAACATCCGTTATGTCCGCAACCATGATAAACGCAACGCGATCGAAAATGTAACTGCGACCGCAATTTAAATCTCTGGTTTTATGCTTATAGCCATCATTTGTGTTATGAGTTCCAAGTGTTGTCGAGAAAATTTTGTTGTTACAGTGTTTAGCATAAATGTTTGCAGAATCTGAAAGAGCTAACATTATATATCACAAGTTCTAAACATTATGTTTCATGGTCTTACTAAACTTGTAAGCACATTCTTAGTTGGAGTATTGCCAAATTTACTTTGATTTTCTTGTAAAGTTGCTTCCATTTTCGTTTCTTAAATCTTCAATGAAGATGCGAATTTGACAAGTGCCTTTTATTTCTCCATATTTGCAAATTGCAAATATGAATCTGAAATAGATTGTCGCAACTTAGATCTGCCAATGGGCTAAAAATAAAAACTGCTTGCTTTTAGCATATCTTGAAAGATGAAAGGATGTTTTTGTTTGATGTATGCTTTCTCGGGTTCAGTTTGAAGCTGATGTTGGGGCCTGCACCACATACTCAACTTGATGCTGATTTGGCTGCTGGGATGGGCATGCCAGATAATGGACCAACATTAATGTCAATGTGAGCAATGCTTGTTTGGCTCCATCAACGATGTTCATTGTTCTGTCAATCAGTGGGTGAAGTTAGAGCTCCTGATTGCACATGAAAGGTCCACCGTTCCTTGAGAACTGATTGCCTTTCTGCTTTAGTGATAGAACCCATCTTGTTTCTGTATTCTAATGCTTGCCCGAACAAGTGGTTTCATTTTTTTCCCCGTTACGATGATGAATGACTTGTCGGATTCCAGTTATCCTATGAACTAGTATTTGTTTCTTTCTGGTCGGGTTGATGATGCCAGTTCATAGAAATATTCAATAATAAGTAGTCCTATAAACAAACTGAACGTTTAATGAACCGTTCGTAAGCTGTTTGGCGCGAACTTCGACTATCGCAACCAACTTGGAATAAATCGTAACGCGAACTTGGACTATCGCAACGAATTAGGAATAAATCGCAACGCGAACTTCGACTATCGCAACGAACTTGAAATAAATCGCAACGCGAACTTGGACTATCGCAATGCGAATATGTAAATCGTAATGCGATAGTCGAAGTTTGCGTTGCGAAACTGGAAACTGATTTGCGATACCGGAGATCACGTTGCGATTTAGTTGGTCATTTTGGCAAATCTAAAAAAAGTTGGTTAAAATCGTATATTATAAGGCATTTTTGGTCACTGAGGTTATTTTCTCTTCTTTCATTTCACGATAGATTGAAAAAATATATCCTAAATGCTATATAGGGATGGGCATGAGACCCGAATCCGACAAGTTCTGACCAGACCCGATTGGGTAGGATTTTTTTATAAAAAAAAAATCGGGTTTGGGTCGGGTCGGGTTTAGGGTGAAAAATACCCGACCTGACCCAAAGAAAATATATAATTTTACCTTATATATTTAGGAATAATTATAATAATATCTCTCTATATATTATTTTTTCAATTAAGTTATTGTTTTTATTGAATAAAAATAATTTTTTATTATTTGCGGTCGGGTTTTTAAGTTATATATCGATTCGGGTGGAAACTTGTTTTGGTCGGGGCGGGTCGGGTCGGGTAGAGGACTCCTTGTTCTCGGGTCGGGTGGACCAAAAACTCGACTCATGCCCATCCCTAATCGTTTAAGGTTCTGTATGTTTCACGGAAGAAAGATTTCGAAAAATGAGTTTCATAAAATGAATTATGTCTTGGAAAACGTTTTCTGCAAATTATTTTACAGTGTTTGAATGATGTTGTGTACATCATTTCCCATCGGTCAGTAAATGTTTTACAAATTATTTATTAAAAATATCAAACATTATAAATATTATTATTTATTTAAAAAATAATTTATTTAAAATGTTATAAATAAAAATATTAAGATTATTTATTTTATTAAAATATAATTATTATAAATTATATTAATTATTTATTAAAATAAGAATAATATATTATTAGTTATGTATTAAAATAATAATATTATTAAAATATTAAAAATTATAATATTAAAATAAAATTATTATATTATATTTTAAGAAGTATGCTTTAAATATTCAATAATTTAATAATATTTTTTATAAAATTAATAAATAATATTTAATTTACTAATAATTTATTATATATTATTAAAAAAGTATAATATTGTATATTATAATAAGATATTTATAACATATATAATATCATCTAGAAATATAATTTAATAATTAATATTTTTAATAAAATAATACTAAAATAATATATTAATATTTAACATGTAAAATAATAATATTTGCAGTGTTTATGCTTTAATGTGAAAAGTTCGTAAAATAACATACGAGAGATCATACCATAAGTAATTTTTCAGAAAATGCAAAAGAAATTTAGTTAACTATGAAAATGAATTAGATTGACCATTTGTTTTCAGCCTGGAAAATAAGGAAAACATTATCCATAGACCTAATTACAAGGAAACAAACATACTTTAAATTTATGTTTGTTTATCATTTTAACGAACGGACATGAACAAGCATAGACAATAATGAATAAGGAGAAGAAATTATGTTGGTTTAGTTGTTCGTGGTCATTTGTTTGTTAAGTTATAGTTAAGCGAACGAATATGATCATACCCTCTTTCGTGTTCGTTTGATTCATTTACAAGCCCAATCATAATGATAAGTGCTTGTCATTAGCGGTATTTCTTACTTTCTATGTGGTTATTGATCCACAGTACTTAATACACCACTTCCTTGTTGCTTGAGGAATATTTATGAACCTTAACTAGTGCTGCTAGATATGATACAGGAAAGTGTAGTTTGTTAAGCAAGTTAAGAGATTCGCAGTCTGCATTAGGTATTTCTTCATTGTATCTTCTTGTAGGGTAGACATTATGAAGCATATCCAAGCTAGAAATGGAACAGCATGCTCCTCTCAAGGAACTACAGTTGTCATTATCATTTCTTTAAAAAGATACATGGAATGCAAGGTTAAAAAAAAGATAATGAACATCTATTATACCATATTCAAACATTAAATCCAGAGTAAACACCCAAAAAAACCTTAAGGGGTACATGGAATATACCCCTTTTGTCTACTAATTTCTTGAAGTTAATCCACTAGCCTTCTCTTTCATCGGCATCTTTGGCTTTTACCGAAGAACTCGAACCTGAAGTTATGCCAACCACTTGGCTGTTTGTAAACCTTTGCAATTGTATCATCCGAGCATAACACCCATCAGGATAGTTCTTTAGTAAATGTGAATGGGATCCTTGCTCTGCAACTTTTCCTTCATCAATCACTGCAATTACATGAGCATTCCTAATTGTAGATAACCGATGAGCAATCACGATCGTAGTTTTACCCGAGCAAGCATGCTTTAGAGCCTCTTGGACCGAGCTCTCAGATTCGGCATCAAGGGCACTGGTTGCTTCATCGAGCAGCATAAGCTCCGCTTTTCTCACAAGAGCCCTTGCAATGGCAATTCTCTGTTTTTGTCCCCCTGAAAGTTGAATCCCTCTCCCCAACAAACGTTTTGTAACCATCGGTCAATGAGGATACAAACTTGTGGGCGTTGGTTAGTGTAGCTGGCTCAATGATATCTGGGCCTCGGTTGCAGATTCGGACCCATAGGCAATATTTTCATAGATGGTGGATGCAAAGAGGCAAGGCTCTTGTGGAACAATTGCAATGTGTTTTCTCAGGGATTTGAGGTTGTACTTCCTAATGTCTTTGCCATCTATCATAACACGTCCAGATGAGAGGTCATAGAATCTTTGTATAAGTGCAATCACCGAGCTTTTACCGCATCCACTCGGATCAACATCTCCATGAAGATGGTCTGGAACTTGTGTGGCAACAGGGTAATCAGGCTCGATCTTGGTTTTACGGTCAAGTAGATCAATGACTGACCGCATGGCTTGACCTCCCTTGATGAAGTCAGGAGCCAGGGTCAATGTTTCCGCTGCACCATTGACGGAGACCATGAGAATCATAAAGACTCGGATTGTTTTCGAAAAATCAGAGATCCCATGCTTCACAAGCCATGAAGCATACCAAAGACCAGGTGCATAAGAAGCAATATAGTGCAAACTGAGCGACCCCGAATCCGCTTCCTGCAATTTGTCCTTTTCAGAAGCAGCGTTTCAGAGGAGTTTGAAGGCTCAAAGAGAAAAGGCCAATGATTTTGTTCTCCGAATTGACGGCAGCTACAGTTCTTACATTGGCAATGGCCTCTCCAGCTAGTTGAGTGGCCTTGGCATGTGCAGCTTCTAGATCTCTTGAGAAACCTTTAGAAACATTTTCTGTTGAAAATCCAACAAATATAGGTTATTGTGAGGTAAATGATCAGCTTTTAGACAAGATTAGTACTTGACGATGCCATGCTTGAGTGCAAAGGATCAGTTTTAGAAACAAACCTGCAAAACAGTTACTGCTACAACCACAGGGAAGACTGCAACGAGGACGAGGGCAAGGCGCCACTGCAAAACAAAACCAGCAGTGCAAGCAACAAGCACGAGTGCTGTGTTCTGCACAATAAATGAAATCCAGTCTCCAATGGCTGATCAGATATTGTTGGCATCCAGAGCTAACCTTGCTGCGATCGTAGCACTTTCATTTTCTTCCTGATCAAACCATGCCATTTCATTTTTCAATATTGCCGCCAGCGTCTTTTTGCGCACACGTTTTGTGAGGTTTTCTCCCACAATATCCCAAAAGGAATGCTGTAGTGTGTTGAAGAGAAGGGCAGCTGATGATAGTCCGATTAACAAATAGCAGTATTTCCTGATTTCCCTGACCACGTAAGCATGGTCCGGGTTGGAGTAGACACTGAGCACGGCACTTAGAACATATGCAAAGAAAGCACTAAGGGATCCGCTGATAACGGAGCCTATAGAACCAACTAAATCATAAACCCATTCTGGTGAATTCATTTTCACAAGGCGCCAGAAGGAACTTGCTTGCTCCTTGAAGGCAAGCTTTTCCATTCGGTAACTAGGGTGGAATCGGTCGAGGGAAAGGCTAAAATCAAAGTAGAAAAGTCGGAAAGCCTGCGTAAATTTGGAGATCGACCATATGATGAGTTCCGGGCAATGATCGGTGAGCTTACTGAGTTCCTAGCACTAGAAGGCCAGCAGAAGAACCATGATAACAGATAACATTCTAAAAGACGCAAGGCTTCTCGAGATACAAACAAACATATGAAAACTTACGGAAGCTACCTTGCACTACTTTTTCAAGCATTGTTAATGGCAGTTTCATGTGCTGCCTCTTGCATTTGAAAGAGTTTGGCATAGGCACCGTTTTCTCCTTTGGCAATGAGCTCATCATGTGTCCCAATTTCTGAAACACTCCCCTCCTGGAGTACAGCTACAAGATCCGCCTTCCGAATGGTGGAAAGACGATGAGCAATTACAAGAGTTGTCCTCCCAATAATAAACCGATCAAGGGATTCTTGGACTACCGTTTCCAACTCGCAGTCCAGTGCACTAGGTGCTTCAACCAAGAGCAAGATTGCTGGATTCTTCAGCATTGCCCTGCTATAGCAATTCTCTGCTTCTGCCGCCTGAGAGTTGAAGTCCTCTCTCCCCAACCTACCATTTTCATATATTAACTATTTGGTGAAATGCAAAGCAATAATTAAATTGATACCAAATGAACCATCTTCGAGTATCTAAACCTGAGTTTTGAAA